TGTGGACAGTTTAGCACTCAACTCTGCTTTGCACGGGCCATTAATCAAGCCTGTCGCTCTGTCAGCTGACTCACTGCCAGGATCCTGGCATTGCTCCAAGCTGGAGAGGCTAGATGATCACAGCTCGGATACCAGGCTGGGATAGAAGGACCTGCATCCTGGCTCTTGTGTGGAGATAGCAGGGAGTAGGGATATTAAATAGTGCTCAGAATGAACCTAGACCTAGGTTTCTCAACTGGCGGAGTGTACAGTCAAAGAAATAACATCAGCAACAAAAAATTTATTTCTAAATGTTTTTCTGATGCAAGATTTTTATTTTTAAAGATGTGAGTGAAAGCTGTTGACACTTCTGTCAGATGCAGTTTAAGTAAAGCGTGCCTGAGAAAAACGTGCTGTCCCGATTCAGTATCTGCGGTCAGATGAGATTCAGATGGAACTCCATTCAATCAAGATATATGCATCAGCAACTTTTTGGTTCGAACCTAAATTTGAAGTCATTTTTAAATTAAAATAGGTCATATTTACTTTATTAATAAATTTCTTATTCTGATGATTTATCTGTGCACACTATTCCAAAAAAGGGGGATGCACAATATCTGGCGATTTTTTTGGATATTGAATTTACATGCTTGTTTCCCCTACTTTTACATTTATATTAAAGGGATAGTTCACCCAAAAATGAAAATTTGATGTTTATCTGCTTACCCCCAGGGCATCCAAGATGTAGGTGACTTTGTTTCTTCAGTAGAACACATTTGATGATTTTTAAGTCCAACCGTTGCAGTCTATCAGTCGTATAATGCATGGCAATGGTGCAGATATCAAACTGAAAAGCTGTCCTTATAATTTAAATTAGAATTCTGGCGTCTTGTGTTCTGAAGTTGTGTACTGAAGCCATTGTTCACAATTTTGCAGTGAAGGTATTCTTTTCCTTGCTTCAGATAAATTAAAAAATATGTCAGATAGCTGCTTGACAATTAAAAACATTGAGTTGACGCCAAAGTCTGTACTGCTGAGATTTCTAAGACACCAAAGCATCGTGAACATCCCTGTCTATAGGATTCATTAGTTTACATCGTTTCTGTGTCAGGAAGGTAAGATGCAACCAAGTCTGTACAGCAGGCTTGTCAAATAATTGTAATCACAAATCTTAGTACAAAAGAATTCAGAGGTCCTTTCTTATGGAGATTGTTTATTTGCCCACCAACTTTTGTTCTCTTTCACTGATTTTCACAAAACGGAAATATGCTTTATCCCTCTGTCTTTCTCCCTCTAATGCCCACTTCTTTGACCTCTCTGATGGACCTCTTGTCTAAAGAGTCATTGATTGGCTGCTCTCCCTGGCATACTGTCTGCTCTATGCTGATACTGCAAATGTTCTCTCACACATTGTTTTAATTTTTAATCATTTATTCTTTACATTTCACATATATATTTTTTTAAATAAATGTAATGTTTATTTTACATTTTATTAATTTTTTTAGATATTACCAAAATATATACCACTCTTCAGTGGGATTTTTTTTTTAAAGGGGTCATATGATGCGATTTCAATTTTTCCTTTCTCTTTGGAGTGTTACAAGCTCTTGGTGCATAATTTAATACTTTTATAAAGGATGCATTAAAAAAAGTTCAAATTGATCAAAATATTATAAAATTAATTCTGTCATTTAAAATTTTCTATTCACTTGAAAAAAATATTAAGCAGCACAGCAGTTTTCAACATTGATAATAATAAATGTTTTTTGTGGACCAAGTCAGCATATTAGAATATTTTCTGAAGAATCACGTGACACTGAATACCAAAGTAATCACTGCTGAAAATTCAGCTTTGCCATCACAGGAACAAATTATATTTTAAAGCATGTTTAACTGGAAAACAGTTACACTTTCATTATATTAGTGTTTTTACTTTTTTGTTTGTTTTTTCTGTTTAGCCTCATTGAGCATAAGAGACTTGTTTTAAAAGCATCACAAATCCTTACCAACCCCAAACCTTTGAATGGTAGTGTGTGTGTATAGTGTGTGCTTTTGAAACTGAAAAGCAGATCTAACCATGTAGTCTTTTTTTTTCTGTCTTCAATATGACAACAATATGGAGCCTTTTTTCATTTTTGAATTGTTAACACATTCTGATAAGCGCAGATTCACAGAAGAAACAAAGAATCTGATTGTACAGCATCTTAGATATGGAGATTTGACAGCCTGTAATCTCATGCACTCACTTGTTAATTTACACTTTCACATTGTTTCCTTTTTTTCAAAGTGTGATCTTCACCAGCAATAAACGCAGAAGAAGAAGTGGCAGGGGTCTCGGGGTGTTGATATGAAGCAGATGATGTACCAGGGAAAAAAAGTGTATAAAGATAGACTGTGAAATAAGACAATGCCCAAGAACTAACTGGTTCTGACAGGCACCAAAAACATCTTGAGAACACTCAAAACCTCAATGGCTTTCTTAGTGTGGCGCAGAATATAGTTCTGTCAGTCTGCATACTCATGTTCTTGCTCCAAATCTAGTTTTCAGCTCCAGACCACATTTATATTTACTATTGGGAGTCTTTTAATGTAAACTTTGTCCTTTTGCAGGTTAACAAGGCTTTTGAAATCTCACAGGTCTAAAATGTGCAGTCGTAGCCAAGATACACTTTGCAACGGGTGTGTTAGCATCCGGCTAATACGTCAGAGACTATTCAAGCAACAGAAATTCGCTCCGGTTCTCTCAGCGGCGACCCTTTGACGTGCTTCCTGACCCAGGAAATAGAATTAACACCTCGGCCCTAAAACTGCAGGGGCCTCAGCTACAGTCACATCTGTGCCCTGCCCCGTCCGGGATCTCGAGTGCAATAACACTGACGGCCGAGAGAATAAATTTGAGACTCAGCAGACCCTCCACTCAACTTTATACAACACACTTTGGGCTTCAACTTCCTCTGCACTGTATCAGGCCAGAAATTCGCTCCGGTTCTCTCAGTGGCGACCCTTTGACTTGCTTCCTGACCCAGGAAATAGAATTAACACCTCAGCCCTAAAACTGCAGGGGCCTCAGCTACAGTCACATCTGTGCCCTGCCCCGTCCGGGATCTCGAGTGCAATAACACTGACGGCCGAGAGAATAAATTTGAGACTCAGCAGACCCTCCACTCAACTTTATACAACACACTTTGGGCTTCAACTTCCTCTGCACTGTATCAGGCTACTTTATCATTTTGGATGACATTGGTCCGAGTCTGAAAATGCTGCCAAAAATAGCTGAAACAAAATGAAAAAGCATCAATCTCCCATGACAGCTTTTAGACACGTTTGTCACCATGTTCGTTTTTTACCTCCTTGAGATGTTTTATTGACCTGTCCGTTTGTTGTACATTAGTCTAAAGATGAGGTTCTTTTGTTTTCTGTCCTTATCCTTGTGTAAAAATGCATGCTTGGAAGTATCATGTAATTGATGGATGTTATCATTTGTTGCAAATAGCACTAGCATGATTCTTTAGACTCTTAGACAGGCCAAACAGACACCCACCGTCACAGATAATATGTACCCCCCCCTCCTTCGCAGTGGTACGGTCCCATTCTCCGAGGTATCTAACAAAATATAAATGTAGGCCATGTGAAATGTATTACCTACCACAAGAGCATTTTTAAGCGTGGACTCTTTTCCGATGTCAAATGGACAGTAAATTAAGAGAGGAAAAGAGAAATGAATTATCTGTTTATTAGTTATTTTATGGAGGTCGTATTTTAGGAGAAATGGATCCTGAAATTCTTCAGCTGAAAAGTGAGCTATCTGTTTTCTTCATTAGGTGCATGTGCTGTCTCTCACAGACTGAATAACCGGTTCCTGGCTTTAAACGCCCCATGTGTTTGTGTTTTAGTCTCACATTGTAGATTCCCCGAGGTGAGTTTTGTGCAGACTCCCCAGCAAAAGGCCATAAAACACAAAGACATTTTTTTTTTACCTTAATCGTCCCCGTTGCACCTAAGTAACCTCTGTCGTTCTGTCTTTAACACATTCATTCATATTGATCCATTTAAGGGTTTGAATTTCATGCATTTGTTGGATATCTTGAGCAGATGTTTCTGAGAAAATCGCTGAGAAACTAGTCTTTGATGTTTTTTGCATGCTACGAAGAAAAAAGTGAAAATAATTGTTAGCTGCGCTGATACCTGCGCTGATTAGCACAATTGTTATTTTTGCAATAATTCAATAAGTTCATTTAAACCATTCCGTATCAAAAGCTGTATTTTTTTTTTTTGAAAGAAATTATTTATTTTATTCAGCAAGGAGGCATTAATTTAATCAAATTTTGTCAAAATATTTATATTTCAAAGAGATGCTCTTTTTTATTTTTTCTATTAATCAAATAATCATTAAAAATGTGTATCACAATTCCAACAATAATATTAAGCAGCACAACTGTTTTCATTGACAATAAGAACTGTTTCTTTAGCTCCAAATTAGCATACTTACTGACCCCAAACTTTTGAACTGTAGTGTACATTGTGTGTGTGTGTTTGCGTGTGTGTGTGCGTGTGTGTTTTCTCGGCTAAAGCTTAAAAGTGTAATATTATGTAATACTTGAGTCAAAATGTATACAATATGTATATGTCAGAATGCATTATTTTGATTCATTCTTTAGTGTGTTATGATTCATAACTGTGAGATTATATTTTACTCCGCTTTTCTTTTTTCATTTTGTCTTCTATATTAGACTGCGATGTGTTGCATAATTTATATTTTGAGGTCATTGTGTTATAGAAATAATCAAGTGTGTGTTGCCGTAATGCCACAGTACCTTTCACTATATCACAAAAATATTCATGTGAAAAATATGACTAAAAATGTAGTTTCTGTCTGTTAGAATTAAAGAATGTTTGCTTTCAGACAGGAAAGGTTCTGGATTAGAAAAGAGAGGCATATGCACATTTTTCATTGTTTGACCCTTTCTTTTGCTGTTAATGTACCTTGTGTATTAATTTCCATCATTTATTTCTCCCCACAGTACTTTGAGGTGCCCTTTGACTCAAACATGAATCGAACCAAAAACAGACCTCTGGTCCGAGGACAGATCAGGTAAGTGCCTTCAAAACCTGTTTCTCTCTCTTGGGCTGTGTTTTAACCTAGTGAGCATCCAACCTAGACTGCATTTTTGGATATCTTATTTAGATTCAGACATACTTGTATATCTTGTATGCTTGTCCAAAAATGTTGTCTTGGTAGGCCACTCACTTGGTTTTGAAACACATCCTGGATATCTGTGTAAAGAGCCATTGGAATAAAATGGTTTCCTTAGTCTCATTGTGTACGTCATTTACTCTCTACATTGTTCTCAAGTAGCCCGGTGTTTGTGTATAGCTGAGCCTGCCTGTATCAGAAACTATATGTCATTGTCTAATATCTGTAGTGCTGGCCAGCTGCTCACGCACCTGTCTTGCGTAACCTGATCCAAGTGTGTGTAGGTGTGCCTCTCTCTGTTCTTCCCGTCTCACTCCACTGCTGACAAAGGATGGGTCAGGATGGTCATCCGCCAACAGACTAGATGATTAGACAAGTTGGCTAATTTGTGTTTTAGCTTTGGGTGCTTTGAAGTTTAAAGTGAAGGCATTTATAGTTGCAACTTATAAAAGAGGGTGTAAGCATGCCAATGCTATTAGACTAGCATGCTAAATTCTTTCATATTAGGCTAAAAGAGCAGGAATATAACAATGATTTTTCTAGGCCAACCAGGAAGTTAGGATCACCTTGGTTCTATGACAAAATCCAAAGGATTTTTCCACCGGCTTTTGGATTATTATAGACCGTAAACTCTGTGACCAACAAAAGTTTATGATTCTTACTTGATTTGTTCATTGTAATGATAATCTTCACAACTGAGTGCAACTTTTATGAATTTTGAAGCCTGAAGCCTTCGATGATATGACCATTAAGCACAAAAATACATCATCAGCACTAGGCTTGCCGCGATAGACGGTGCAGACGGTGATACCACAACCGTTAAGCCACAACACCGGTTACGTCACTTGCCCACCGCGGCACCGACCCCCACCGTCGTTTAGATTTTTTATAGTAATAAAAATCATTTAGTTCAGTAAAAGAACAGACACTACAATTAAAAACTGAATGCGACTGCTCAATGCAGCGTGCCGAATGACAGTTGCATCACAGATCAGATTTAATTT